ACATGGGGCACTATTTATGCAATGGTTGGGGGTGGGATGGAATGCTGGGGGAGAAAGGGTGTTGATAGAGCAGATTAAATGATTGGAACTGGAGAATGGCAGGACGATTGTTTTTACATACCTGTTCTTCTATTGCCCGCTGACTGCTGGGGGGTCTATAATATATTTCCAGCAATGTGACAGTCCCCTTTTTATTCCTAAACTCTACCCACAAAGCCTCATTTGAAGACCCTTCCATGCCTTGTTACTGCAGTAGCTGACTCCTTTATTAATAATCCAACACTACCTTCTCTTTGACACCCTCCCCTCTATGCATGCAGATTTTATACTGCAGAATGTTGAGTTGCCAGTCCTGCCCCTCCCTGAACCAAGCCTCTCAAATGGCAACAACATCCAATTTCACATGGCAAGCCATGCACTTAACTCATCTTGTCTTCCCTACAATACTCCTAGCATTGAAGTAGAGGCCATCCAGCCTGGCTTTACTCCCTTCAACTTGCTCAGCCTTTATTCCTTTACTGAAGTATGGGTAGATTCAATATGTAATGGACAAAGTGAGGAAATTGGGGTGGAGTGAGGGTATTATAAGACAGTGGTATGGGGCAATTTGATGATATTAAGGGTCAGAGTGAAGGTACTGATTGCCACAGTGTTAATGACGTTGTTGACTTGCTTGCCGAGTTGGCTTGTTTTCACTCAGGCATTTTGTCACCGTGCTAGTGACACCATCAGTGAGGCCTCTGATGAAGCGATGTTGTTCTACTTTGCTTGGAATTTATACTTCCAGTCCGTCATGGTGAGTTGTGTCATTTCCGGTTTTGTTCTGTATGGGTTTGTATATGGGGTCCAATTTCATATTATTGTTGATTAAATTCACCATAACACCATGACAGACTGGACAGTATAAATTCCAAGCGGAGTGGAACAATGCTTCATTGGAGGCCTCACTGATGATATTACCTAGCATGGTGACGAAACATCTGAACAAAAACAAGCCAGCTTGGCAAACAAGTCAACAACCTCACCCACAACCTAAGCTGCAAATCTTTGCTAAAACCTTAAATAGTGTTAATATTATAGGGCTGAGTGAAAGTATTAACTGACAGGCAGTGGGTATTAAAGGGCATAACGTACCTATTGAGGTAGGAATTAGGATAGGAGAGAGGGTATTAACGGGAGAGTGAGGGTGTTAAGGGACATTTTGGTAAAAGGTTTTAGGACATTGGCTTTATCGGGGAGGTGAGTGGCGGATGTAACAGGATCATGTGTCTGGGGGTCATGAAATGTATGAGTGGGAGTGACAGTCTGGGATCTCAGGGTTTCTGAGGGGAGTAAGGGTAACAAGTTCAGGAGTCTCAAGGTTTGTGGAATGAGTGGGGTAACAGTGTCAGTAGTCTTGGTGTTTTTTTTTCTTGTGGGACTTAGGCATCGCTGGCTGGGCCAGTATTTATTGTTTGTCACTGGTCGCCCTTGAGAAGCTGGTGGTGAGCTGAACCACTGCAGTCCATGTGCTGTAGCTTGATCTACAATGCCCTAATGGAGGGAATTCCAGGATTTTGACCCAGCGCCAAAATCCAATGGTGATATATTTCCAAGTCAGGATGGTGAGTGGCTTGAATGGGAACTTCCAGGGGATGGTATTCCAATGTATCTGCTGCTTTTGTTGTTCTAGATGGAAGTGGTTGTGGTTTTGGACAGTGATATCTAACGATCTTTGGGGTGAGTGGGACTAACATGGTCAAGGTGTCTGGTTTTAGGGAGTCAGTGGGGATAATAGGGTCAGGGAATTTGGGGTTTATGGGGAGATTGGGGAACAACAGTATCAGGGTCCTGGGGTCCTGAGTGAGTGAGGGTTATGGGATCAATAGTTTTGAGGTTTATGAGGAGGGTGAGAGGGAGTGTTAGCAGTCTCGGGGTTTATGGGAAGGGATGAATAGGGGTAACAGAGTCTTGGGGTATATGGAAAGGTGGTGAACTGGATAACTGGGTCAGGGTTTCAGAGTTTACCGAGAGGGTATGTAGGTTTAACAAGTTTAGGGGAACTTGTGATTTATGAGGGGGTGGGAGGTGTTAATGAATTCAGGACTGGGGTAAGTGGAAATAATACGGTCAAGGGTCTGAGGTTTGAGGAGTGGACATAACAGGATCAATGGTCTCAAGGTTGGCAATAATTGGGTCAGGATACTCAGGATTTATGAAGAGGCCTTACTGGTCATAACAGGGTCAGGGTTTATAGGGAAGCGTTAACAGTGATAATACGGTTAGATGTTTCAAGGTTGTTGTTGTTGTTGTAGATGTTTCAAGGTTTATAGAGATTGGGTTTGGAATTCATGGAAAGGGTGTGTGAGTAGGTAATTGGGTCAGCGGTTCCAGAGTTTATGGGGATGAGTGAAGAGTCAAGGGTCTCAGAATTTCTGGAGAGGAATCTCGGGCGTAAGCAGCTCTCTCTCTCTCTCTCTGGCTAAAGTTTCTAACTCAAGGGATATGAAGACGCAGTACGACCACCATTTACCTGACATTAGGGTCTCCCTCTAACTCCAGCTAATGGGGCAACAGGCACAGGGCGGGCCTTGCTCTGAGCCAATGGGGGCAGGGCGGGCCGTGCGCTGAGCCATTGGTGGCAGGGCGGGCCGTGCGCTGAGCCAATGGGGGCAGGGCGGGCCGTG